GGTGTTGTGAGAGAAGCAGAACACCAGAGAACTGAAGAATATTTATCTACGGCCTTACACAAATGGGTAGAGCATACAGACATATTAAAGAAAAATCTGAATTTTAAATTTGACCATAACATTGATTGTCACTGACATCCAAAAATATTCTTCAAAGTTATCCTAATAATAGCAAACAGGTTCGCTTAAGGGTTTGCCTTCAGCTGAAATGCAGAATGGAATGTAGATCTTTAAAGTGTTTTAACTGAATTTCAGAATATATGTATTATGCATGAAATTGTTGAAAATAAACCATTATGTAACATTTTACTGTTTGATTAACTATTTTCAACAAATACACATAAAACAACATATTTCAACAACAACTTCAGTGATGCCAGGAGTTAATTAGACAAGTAACCCACTCTAATTCACAAATGAGAGAGAGTAATATGCTAGTAGAAAAATAAGTAGCTTGCTGAGGTGTTACATTGCATGAGGAAGGTTTAGAAAAATATGACATGGTTGTACTCTTTCGCAAATCTTTCAATCACTGTACAAAATACACTGAGGCCACGTTAAACTACAGAACGAAATAATATATTCTTGTCGGGTACAAAAAGGTAAAAGAAGAAAGAAGAAAGTTCTAAGTTGCACTATGAGTTGCATTGCTTTTGTGACCTATTGTGTGTACATCAAGTTTTGAAAGCCCAGGCCTGACTGCTTGTCAGCAGGTGTCTGTCCAACTCCATTTTAGAATGACTATGCATGAAAGGAACAGATGATCTATGAAAAGAACCCTTCAGATGGTCTTCACACTGCAAGTACTGCTGCAGTGTAAAACACAGACTGAAATTCTCCTGCACTCACCTATGAATTGCTATTAATCTAGAGGATTTACCAAGACACAGATAGACACCATTATTCTTTCAAGTCTACAGGAACAAAAACACTAAAAAGCATGGAGTGTGAGACATAACTATGAGACTATTTGAGTTTTTCATATGTACATATCAGTGCTCTCTGTCCAGTTTATAGCTACAAAAAAAAAA